TGATCTGACACTGTATACTGGACTTTGGGGTCAAACCATTCACTAACAGTTTAACCCCTAAAAGAAAGCCAGTGCCAGGGGCCTGAAGTTGTTATGGTGGTTCGAGTGTATATTTAAATCATTTCTGGTATTCATCCTAAATATCTTTTCCCAACCAAACCTTGCAGGTATAGAATAAGAAACATTTCTAGAGTTGTGTCAGCAGTTCCATAACTGCCAGTGTCAGATGCAATGCAACTATAACAAAGTCAAGGGTTTTAGGCATCCCAATATTTCATAGCAACCATGTCTTTCTACTCCTTCCACAACTTTGTGGGCCTGTGGGATTAAAGGTAATAATCGTGGGCTAGTTGCCCCCAATAGCCCAAGATCAGCATTGAGTCAGAGGATGCCCAGTCTCCTGTTCTGTTTATTGCCAGATGGACTTAATATAAAAACGCTACCATATTCACTCTATTTCCAACTAAGGATGAGAGGATGTCATCTCAATAAGAAATTTTAAAAACACAGGGCAGTAAAAAAAAAAAGCCATAAAAAAAACCAAACCTCAAATAAAATAAAATTTTTAAATAAATAAATAAATAAAATACACGTAGGTTATCTGTGAGACAAGAGGTCAGATTCAGTCTGGTGAATGTTTTGCAAGTAAACTCCAGTTTTATCTACAGCATAAGAACAGGAGAGATACTTAATGAATTGAATATTGAGGACTGTTTTCAAATTTTTTTTATTTTTTTGTCAATAAAATTTGTCTTTTGGCTCAAAGTTTAATTCAGGCCTTGCTCTCTGACATTATATTACAAAATGCAAATGCAGGCTTGTTAAGATTCAGCCTTTCATTTAAAATGAGCTATAACCCAGGGTAACCCATTGTGTGCTGAAGGGATGAGCAAAGTAGTGTTTTTTGCTGCATTTCAAATGTCTAATACTCAAAGGTGTAGAAGTGATTAAAACACAATTGAAGAATTTGAAAGGCTTACTGCTATTGCTTTATTGTTTTCCTATGAGAGATGGCTCATAAGCCTGTTTAAAGGACCTGTTTCTTTCAAATGACTGTACGACAGCAAGAGTTTTTTAGCCTGGGTCACACATGTCCTCCTATGAGGCAATGCTTAGGATCGCTGGGTTAATTGCTGTAGAAATAGATTGCAATGAACTGAATGCAGATTCCCTTAATACTAATTGATAGTCATTACTCAATCTGCTTGAAGTGAATTGGTATTCCCATGTCAACATTAAGCAAGCAGGTGTTCAAGTCACAAAATGAACACTCACAATTGACACTAATTGGCAAGTTAGTGCAAAGTCTCTAAGGGAGGAAAGCACTGCTTTCTCGCTGTCCTTGGTGGTATTTCTACCAAAGCCGAAATCATCTACAAAGAAAAACTGTAGCATGTAAGGCCCGTCCATTGCTATCAGTTATACAAGAACTCCTGTCTCAGTGATACTTCAGGGGACAAACTAATTATACCAATCACAATGACAGAAATTAAGCACAACTGCCACATTACCCTGTGAAAACTGTGAATCACTCAAAAGAGAAATAAAGAACAAATCTGTAATGTACTGCTCAGCGGATCAACACACATATGGAAAAGTAATGCTTCCTATAAAAACTATAAACTTAAATATTATCGGTAGTGAGTATAAAGAAAGATAAAGTATATAATTATTATTATTATATGTTGGGAACCTGTATAGTGTATAAAGGCATAATAAAGTAATTTATTTCTATTAGATTATGTTCCATTTATGTTGAGTAAAGTTTCACTACATACAATAATCCTGTACATATATGTACAAACCATTTGTTATGTAAAAACATGCAACAGCCAATTAAACATTTATGAACTTTATGATAAATAAGGATTTTAGTAAAAAAAAAAAAAACATTAAATTATATATTCTAAACATGCAGATGAAATATGGTCAATATTTATTATAGAACAAAAAAAATCGGGTGATGCCATATTGTTTTACTTTGTAGTGAAAATTGAGTGCAGCAATATATAAATGAATTATCTCTACGCATTTACATCTATATATTTCTATAACATGTAAGGTACAGACTATGCCATCAAAGTTCTAATTAGCGTTATTTTCAAAAGTTCACTTTCCAGTCATTTTATTTTATAAATGATATCTCTAAATATATACATAATTTTTTGTTAGTCTGTTTCCCTACAGTCATCCGTTAGATTATTAGGCAATGCAAAGTATTGAGTTAATACCCAAACCTATGCTAAATAACCACACTAGCACACTATAAAGTTTGGTTAACCAAGCAAGTGCAAAGAATTACCAGAAAGAAAAGCTCTCTTCACACTTTAACCAAGTGCAAGATATAGATAAGTGGACACCTTTTAACAGTTGTAGCATCAATGGCTCTCTGCACATTTATGTTGGTTTATATGTTATATGAGCTGTAAAGAAGTCCAGCTTGCGAGAGAATGATCATGTTCAGATAGTTTTATTTTTCCTGCTTCTCTTAATTTTGTGCTTTTGTTCAACTGGCCCTAAAACAGATGTCCAGAGTGAAGGTGCTTATGGGAAGAGATGCTGCAATGTAAAGTCCCACCATTAAAAAGCAGGTCTGTCACAAAGTGGACAGATGGTTTAGAGTCTCAACTCCATGGTGATCATATTTGGCAGGGAAAGAAACACTGGAATGTTGGTTTTGCTGCCAAAGTGTTTGATTAAAATCTCTGTTTGATTGTTTGCAGCATTGTTTCGAGGATGGTCACAGACACTCATGTACACGACTTAAAAGTCTACTAAATCGACAATGACCATAATCACCCTGATAAATAAATACAATTAATATAGCAAGTATATAATATATAAAACTATACATTGTTTAGTTAAAAAAATAAATGTACTTATTTTAGAACTACATCCATTGTGACAAACTGCCTACCAGATTTCAGAGCCCTAATATTGAAATTGTAGGTATACTATAATTCTACAAAATATGGAGTAGTCAAAAGAATTTCTAAAAAAACAAAGTGATTATTTTCTTGTTTGTCAAAACACAGTTATATTTAAATAGGAATTCCCCTTCGGGAATTGTAAGTGATCCCAAGACGCAAAATTTGGTTAGCCAGAGAAATGAAGAAAGTAGCATACTACTTAGAAGTGACGAGGCTTAATACACAATTACAGAATTAAAATAATTTGAGAACAGGCCAAGGTTAAGCGATAATAAGAGGATTTACAATATGAATGAAACACGAAGGTTGGGAATGCAGAAATCCACAGAGTCAGAATAGAAGCCTAATGTCATTAACCAGTTAACCCAAAAACATAGGGAACATGCTCTCAAGTAACTGAAGACCATGACAGGGCATAGTATGCTTGAGGTCTGGGTTCATATAGGACAAGGTAAAGGTCTATCGGCCAACATCATTAGAGCAATGCCACAGCATATGCAGAGCACTTTTAAAGAATATATTCTCCTGTCAATTCCTTTTCATTTGTTTCTGATCTACTGTGTAAGCATCTACCTACATTAACCATTGATGGAGTGTTGCCTTAAACTGACTATAGATATTTACTGAGGTAGTGAGAAAAGCTGTTAAAAAAATAAGTGGGTAATGTATATGTTTTATCCTCTACTTATCATTGTATGCCATCTCAACTATTATCACTTTTTCCATATATTTTACACATGTGGCAGCATTGGCTATAGTATTCATCAGCCCAAACATATAAGCAAACCTAAAAAACACACCTGCACACAATACAAGAGGTTTTTAGTAACATTGCAATGGCCATTAGTGTATCAGGTCATCAAACAGCATCAAGGCAAACCTCTTCAGTAAGTTATACAATTGGAAAATGCTGTTAATTATTGGCGTACCTGGGTTAAGTTTTTGTGTATTTCGGTTAAAAAGTAAAAAACAAAAATAGGTATAACAGGAAAAACTCTAAACAGAATGTAAAATTTTCCTCTAAAATTATTTTTCTAGGCTTTTTTTGTAATCCTTTCTTAAGGAATGTATTGTAATTTTCACTGAGATTCCCTTCTATTTTGATATATGTGTTGGTAACCCCCAAGATAGGTTATGCCTAGTCAAAATAATAATCTTTGTCCCCATCCCTTCCCCATCCCTTATCCTCTGCATGATGACTATATCATCTCTTTCATTAAAGATTTAAAACAACATTTTTCTTCAGTTGTAAAGTTGTACTTTTCAATGTCTGAATTTTCTTTTTAATGTCTGAATTCTTGGCTGATCATATCATTGCATATGTCCAAGTCAGCTCCTCCACTTAGCATCGGATAAAAATGGCCATGATTTAAAATGACTATTGACTATATTTCCTTAGATTTCTAATATCTGTGATTGAGATACTTGTGATTGTTTTAAAAACTGTATTTTAATTATCAATTTTCTGTAACCTATACATAGTTCAAAATCATTAACATTTTATTCAATATTTTTGATTCAATAGTCTCTTCAATAAAAATAGTATCTCCAACAAATTATAAAACCCCTAATTTTTCTTGTATGATTTTATTATAATATATGGGCTTCAGAATCAATACAGTATTAATAGAAATATGTACTTTAAACCAGCATGTAATATGGAATAAGAATAATGGGACTTTAAAATAATATGCACTTTAATGAAAGTATATAAAATGGTATGTTTTTTGCACTTTAAGATTGTGTACTTTCATTTATGTAGAAATAATACTTTTTACATACACTTTTTTTATACACAATTTGTATTAAGTGCACAAATTGCATTAGGTGTTGGTGTATTCGATTTTGCTAATATGTGAACTTTTTGAATTATCCTTCAATTATGTATTCATTTATTTAAACACTGTGTTTCATAACAGAATTTTTATTAAATGACCACTCTAGGCACCCAGACCACTTCAGCTTAATGAAGTGGTCTGGGTGCCAGGTCCAGCTAGGGTTAACCCATTTTTTCATAAACATAGCAGTTTCAGAGAAACTGCTATGTTTATGAATGGGTTAAGCCTTCCTCTATTTCCTCTAGCGGCTGTCTCATTGACAGCCGCTAGAGGCGCTTGCGTGCTTCTCACTGTGATTTTCACAGTGAGAGCACGCCAGTGTCCATAGGAAAGCATTATGAATGCTTTCCTATGTGACCGGCTGAATGCGCGCGCAGCTCTTGCCGCGCGTGCGCATTCAGCCGACGGGGAGGAGAAGAGGAGGATCGGAGGAGGAGAGCTCTCCGCCCAGCGCTGGAAAAAGGTAAGTTTTAACCCCTTTACCCCTTCCAGAGCCGGGCGGGAGGGGGACCCTGAGGGTGGGGGCACCCTCAGGGCACTATAGTGCCAGGAAAACGAGTATGTTTTCCTGGCACTATAGTGGTCCTTTAAGTAGACGATTGTTGCAATGATCATTTCTCCATAAAACTTGGTAAAACCCAAGGTAATGAGTGGAATGCACACATGACCGGCAGTTAGAATGCATGCATAATAGGAGGGTGGAACGCATATACGCTGGTGAGAAAGAAACATTGAGAGAGGTGCTGTTTGCTGAGTGATGATACATTGAGCATAGAATGAGCATAGAGGAAAGACCTACACGTTCACTGGACCACTAATAATAAGGAAGGGTTGGAACTATTTAAATTAGAAACCTGGCAGGGTGGGTTTATGGCATGATTTATGGATTTTTATTCTGTGCATTTTATATGCACTTTCCCTGAAGTTCTACTATAGGAAAAATGTGTTGTACCTCTTGCTCTATGAAAGAAATTTATTTTATTGCTGTTTTTGTGAGAAGAAGATATTGGCGAATACTGCTAAAGTTTCTTTGCGGGATTGAAGATGTGATTTCTGGAAGTCTACATAGTATTGGGACAATTTAGCTTCTTGGATATTAAGGGAGGTGCCCCAGACCTGATTTATCCCCTAAATATTTCATTCAAGCTTGCTAAGAAGTTATATAGTATAATAGTATCACACTATGTTATATCTTTTCATTTTTTTAGAATTTTAGCTGTATCTCCTATTGGGTTTTTTATTCTTTCTGCCTGGAGAACATTTGAGAAGGTCTCTATGGGTAGCTACCATTGTGGTTCTCACTTACCTGGAAACCATTCAAATGTGTTTTAACACCATCATTGTCATTCATTTTTATATAAGTGTTGGCAGGGATTAGGCTTCCTTCGGTAGAAACGAGAAGGCAGAGAAGAGAAAATGAAGAAAAATTTGAAATGAAAAGATACACATAGGGAAATTGAGTTACAATAGGGGCATACATGATAATTAGGGGCACATGGAGTCACAAGTAAGCAGAAGTGGCAACAGTGTCTATATCTGTGTTAGCATGTGTGTTAGCATTTGTCTCTAAGTGTGCTAGTATGGATATATGTTTGTTAATATGTGTATATATAGGTGTGCTTGTATTTATTTATTTATTACTGTTATTTACAAAGCACCAACAGGTTCCGCAGCACTGTACAATTAATGGAGAACGTACAATATACATAGACAAATACAAGAGGTCGAGAGAGCCCTGCCCGTAAGCTGATAACTAGCCATTGGAGCTCTTTTATACAAAGTGCTTAGCTAGCCCATGAACTTACAATCTACAGAATACAATGGGGATTTGAGACAAGAGGTAGCAGGGGAAATTTGGAGGTGATGGCTAGAAGATCTAACAGAGAGAAGTAGCTATTGGTAAAATATAAAGGGAATGGAGAGGTAATTGAGAGAGAATCTCAAACAGCTGGAGGAGCATGCTATATATTTAGGGGGAACCTGGGTGGGCAGGAGGAGGGGAGGGTGGGAAGTGGTGAGGGTTATTAGATTTGCTGCTGATGTTAAATGCAGAGCTCCACTGAGTATGAGTGTGAGATGGGGCCTGAAGGACAGAGATGGAACAGTTATATGAAGATAGTTACAGCTGGGAGGAGAATAGGAAAGAGGGTGAGGAGGGGAGGAGGGGAGTAGGTAGGGAAGAGGGGCAGAGGGGAGGAGGGAAGGGGGGAGGGTAGAGTAGCCATGTGTTATATACTATTGAAAAGTTTAGCAACCAAATTCACCCAAAATATTAATAACTGTCTACGTGAAACATTGGTCAGAAACATTAAATGACAATAATACGAACTGCATGCACAGAAAATTAAAGTGGAAAACTGCAGGTATAACTGGTATAAATTTTATAGTAACACATGATAATATGGTAGCAATGCAAGAATAAATTAGGTGGAATATCTTCCAAGCTTCAGTCAATACCTGAGGGTTGTTGGATTTGCTGCAGTATGTTAAATGCAGAGCTCCACTGAGTATGAGTGTGAGATGAGGCCTGAGGGTTGTTGGGTTTGCTGCAGGATGTAAAATGCAATGCTCCACTGAGTATGAGTGTAAGATGAGGCCTGAGGGTTGTTGGATTTGCTGCAGGATGTTAGTATGAAACTCTATATGTGTTCATGTGTACATTTCTATATGTCTGTTAGTTTGGGTCAGTGTATTAGTATGTTTCAATATGTGTGTATATGTGTGTTAGTTTGGGTCAGTGTATTAGTATGTTTCTGTATGTGTGTGTATATGTGTGTTAGCTTGAGTCTGTATTTGTGTTATGATATGTCTCACAGATGTACTCACTTATGCACACCGACAATGACATACACAAATACACAGAAAAGGCCCTCATATTAAAAGTAAAAGCATAGTTAAAAAATTGTGGGTGTCGTTTTTGTCATAACGTAAGCAAAATTTCCACAGAAAGAACAGTCTTTGGTTGACATGGCAGCAATTAAGTGCTCCACTTCTCCTTTTACTCTGTAAATTCTACTTACAGTGGAGAGGGGGAGTACCAGTCAGGTTGTTTAGCACATTTGTTTTTGTTTATTTTATCTTGATCAACCAGCAGTTTAGTTTGTTTTAATGAAACACTGTAACAAAAAAAATATTATATATTTTTTTTAAAAAAGCTTTAATGAACACTTGTTCATTCATAGTGGTTATGGTGCCCTGTAGCCCCCTAATGTAAGTAGTCAAACCATTTTAGAGGACTGTGGGGCACCACTCCTCATCTCCACTACAGTCTTCAGAGAGCCAAAAACCATGGCGTAGCTTATTGGCGGAGAGAGATCAGCTGAGATTCAGGAGAGTTAATGGAAGCTCTCAGAGTGGAAGCTCTCAGAGTGGTTAAGTGTAGGTGCGGGATAGCTATGGAAGGATTCCAGGTAAGAAGTCAAACTGTTCTAAAAGGGTTTGACTACTTACAATGTCAGGATGCCAGGCAACTCTTGGCACCATAACCATTACAGCATGTTGTAGTGTTCATGGTGCAAGCACATTCCACTCCTCTGCCACTCCTCCAACTGTGAGATTATCAAGTATGATGATCTTGGGTCCAATCTAATGCTTATCATAGCATCTCTGAAATCATATGGTAGCTGCTATCCATTTTATGTTGCTGTTCTATACATTATGGAAAACAGATATTTGCAATCTATTGTAAGTGAATGGCAACCAAATTTCAAATTATTACTCTCTTTAAAGTAGGTCTGTTAGCCACAGATTGTGTGACTGGAGGTCATCTTCACTGATATTTACTTATGCAGTCCTAAGTAGATGTATAGTTTAAAAGTTAAACTTAAATGAAAATCATTCCTTCTTCCTCCAAAATGGCTGCCACAGTGGATAGGATAACTGAATGCACAGTGCACACTAAATAATCAGTAAAATTACATCTATGTTTTTCTTAGCAAGTTGTCTTGCCCAATACCTAAATATAATTTGTGTATGGTAGGTGTACCTAAAGCTAAAAATGTCATGATTGTTGTAGCACAGTGTATAGATGGTATTTGTTACTTACCACAAGGGAATTTGTCAAATACACATTTTGTCGATAACAGATAGACTTACAATTTTTTTTTTTCCTGGTCTCTGTGACCAGGACACAATTATAGCATTGACTGATACACCTGTGGTAAGGCAGTAACTAAAGCAAGAGGGCAAAGCAGGGAAGTCAGTATTTATTTAACTCATGTTACTTGTCATTTTTCTGCTTTCAGTGAACATATTTTAAGTACACATTAAATCAAGAATGGTCACATTTGACAAGCTTTCAGTAACTGCATTTCATCAAAGTTTCCTTAGTGTAAACATTTGCAAACTATTTGCTTGTGGTCCATGTGGTATACCATGGACTGTAATAAGGTTATAAGATCATAGACACCCATTACAGATATATGAGAGTTTTATTGGCAGGCGCTGTCATGTGCTTACTTTTCAGACCACATAGATCTATGCCTCAGGCATCAATTACACAAGAAGTTATATGTTCGTAACTTCATGCCAGTAGCTGTCCAATACAGAGTAACGCATACTTGTCTGAACTAGTCCAATGGGACCCATGAGAAAATATGTGAGCGGAGCATGTTATAAACCGGCAGTCATACTTCATGAGCTCAGTGAATTGAATACCCTTGCATTAGGAAAGACAGGGATCTGTCCCTGATGGCTAATTTAGCTTGGACTTAATAACATTCTTTATTATTGATTAACACCTTTTTAAAATGCCAGAGGGGACAGTAATAAGCTGGCATTAATTACACATTGCACAGTCAATTCACTGTGTAAAATGATACTCCTTGACATGAAAACATTTGCAATAATGTAATTGAGATCAAAATAACTTTGTACTGTTCTTGTGGTTTTGAGTACAACTAGAGTCAGATTTTTTTTCCCTTTCATTTGTTTTTATGTGTAACAGTTTTGTACAAATGTTTGTCAAATAGCAGATACATTTATGACACCCTTTCCTGACTGGTCTGGGTTACCCACTTGCATCCAAACCGCTCTTCATACATTTATTTAATGGGACATTCTACGCAAAAGAACCACTACAGTTTAATTTCATGGTTCTGGTGTAAAGAGTCTGTCCCTGAAGTCTGACAAATGTGAATTTTTCCATAAGTAGTCTTCTAGAGGCTGTCACTCAGACAACTACTAGAAGTGCTTCATATGACAGTACCGCAATCTTTGCAAGACCAATATTTGGTGCCATGCGTGATCAGTATGTCCCCCGAGGCATTGGATTGGCTGAGGTTATCAGTGAGGATGGGAGGAACACATGCACAGCATGGGAAAAAGTACCTGTGCTTTATTTTATGTTTATTGTGTGGCCTACATAGAAATAGTTAAAAATGACCTTTAATGTTATAAATGCATGTTTACATATTTCTAACATTAACCCCTTAAGGACCAAGGACGGTTCAGGATCGTCATTGGCATTTTTACATTGCCGACCGGTGACGGTCCTGAACCGTCCTAATGGTCTTAGTTACTTACCCAATCGCCGTCATTCCCCCGGC